CCTGAGGAAGGGAAGACCGAAAGCAAAGCTGGGAGCCATCTTCTAGGAAATGAAGGTTGCCATGTCAGGAGAATTGTTCTGAGTTATTCCAGAGGACTTAGTTGGGACAGGTGTACGTAAGCTATAGAAACGTCCTTTCTTAATTGTAAGAGTTTCTGTTGTAGTCATTGTACGTAAAAATCAGAGGAGGCCTTTTTTTCCTGTCTTCTTTAAAGCTTAATATCTGCATAATGAGCATGTAACTATTGGCAGTCCTCATCAGATGGTACTGACCCATTTTGTAATCTCTAAAAGTATTTCAGTTACTTTATGTGTTGGTCTGTTAGCCAGACATCCTTAATTAATTTTCTGGTGTGAAACACCACGTCTGTTCTGCTTTTATACTTTTTTTGTTTTTTTGAGACAGAGTCACATTATGTTGCTCTCAGTAGAGTGCTGTAGTGTCACAGCTCACAGCAACGTCCAACTCTTGAGTTCAAGTGATCCTCTTGCCTCAGCTTACTGAGTAGCTGGGACCACAGGTGCAGGCCACAATGGCCAGCTGCCCAGCTAGCCGGCTAATTTTTAGAGACAGGGTCTCATGCTTGCTCAGGCTGGTCTTGAATTCCTGACCTCCAGCAGTCCATGGATCTCGGCTTCCCAGAGTGCTAGGATTGCAGGCGTGAGCCACTGAGCCCAACCTGCTTTTATACTGTTAAGAGGGCTGTGTAAAATATGTTGAGTAATTAGCTGACAAGGTCATCTGGGATTGTGTGAGGTGAGAAAATGTAGAACCCATAAATATTAACTTTTGTTTTTAGCAATATTTATTGGCTAGTATTCTTAAATTTAAAGTTGACAGTATTAAATAAAAAAAGAATCAAGTACTGTGTATTTAGTGCAAAGAGACCTAAAGATGATTAAAATAATTTTCTAGTCCACCTGCATCAAGGTTTTCGTGCTTACTTTTACTTGGCTAGCACATCAAGAAGTGAGCCAAGCCTTTTCAATATGGATTTTGGGTAGGGATTTTGACTGAATGTTTATTTCAAGTAAAAAAGCATTAGTTTGCCCCATCAGCTGGCCAAGCCACTCAGGAACCCAAAGTAAATCTGTTCCAGAAGGGACCGCTGAGAACTTTGATCTGCTCACATGGTCTTCTGGGTTAGTAACTTGGTTGACCTCAGTAGTGTATGTGTTTGTTAAGACTCAAGTCCTGCTAAATTAAGATAAATTTGAATTAGTATAAATTCCTAATTCAAAATGGCTAAAAAGAAAATGTTTTTATCACTTTTTGTGCTTTTAAATCAAAAGTGTGGGGGAAAAGTGTAATTCAGCAAAAATAATTGTATCAGTCTTTTGTGGCTTTGTGATGCTGACATGGCTTCTTTTCCTACCTTTTTTAGTTCTTTTGTTTGGCTAGTTTCACTCTCTAGAGGCCTGCTACTGCCATAAGTAGCGTTTTTAGCATACCATATTCTGCAAACTGCATTAAATGCCACATTTTCTGTTATGAAACAGTTTGCCTGGTTCAAATTATAATCTTACTTTTCCTGCCTTTTGCTGCTGGTAAATCTGTTTTGTTTAACTCTTGGAAACCTCACCTAAGTTTTCAAGAAATATGGTTTGTTTTTGGCTGTGATCCTGGTGGAAAAAATGAACGTGGTCTCCCATTTTTGTGTAGAAATTCTCCACACAAGTTTCTTAATAAATGGCAATCTTGGAAACACAAAGTTGACCTTATATGAGAGCATGCTTACTTTCTTTAAAGGGCTATTCAATGTTGCCAGACATCAATCCAAGGGCTTGAAAACAAGCAGTTTAAATCTGCATTGTACCCACTCCTTCCACCTGCCTATCATAATCTCATAAAGTTCATGACATATTGCCACCCAGGTTTTAAGGTTATGAAATTGTATTGTTTTGGTTATTGAGACAAATGATCAGGGGGAAAAAGTGATGAAATTGTATCCTTCATCTTCCATAGGGGCCAAATTGGAGCAAAGATTCTTAATGGAA